CGTGGTGATGAGCTGTGGCTACCAATTCTCGGACGATGGCCTAGTATGGGGTCAGCCATCATGCAGGGGATACCACCGTCTCGTTCTGTATCCCACACGAGAAGAGACTTCTTTCTTGTCCTTGGGACGGAACGTGAAGCTTACCCAGGCATTGCAATAGACGCCCTCCAACCCGTCCCACGCGGTGCCATGCAGTCGTTGCGGTAGATCTGGTCCACCCATGATCCACCAGCCAACTGGCAACCTGATACTCGTGCATCTTGCGCTGGTCTTCAGCCATTCCCAATCGTCGTCGGTGACGGCGGATTTCCAGAAGTCCTCCCAAATCCTCCTCGTCTCATCGATGCCTCGCTCCTTCACGCTCGCCGTCACGGCATCCAGCTCACTGTCCCCGTTGGAGGAGGGCAAAAACATGTGTCCGGAGAGCCATTTCTCGAGCACGAAGACGGACCCGAGATTGGTGCCATGATGGTAACGATATCTGAACACATCATCGGGGGTCGGGGGCAGGATGGTGGAAGACTGATGTTGTTGCTGGATGGGCTGTTGTGCTTTGCTGTCGTGGACCAGGAATTCTTGAGAGAACGAGCTGACCTTGTCCTCGAGCTTGTTGAAGAAGCTCTTCATGGTGAGGGGAGGGAGGGAGAGGGGGAGAGGGGGAGAGGGGAGGGGGGAAAGGGGGGAGACGAACAAGAAAGCAGAAGGAGAGAGGGGTTGGAAGGTGGGGGGCATCATGTGACACGGAGAATCGCTTCTCCGCGGGGGGGATTCTGTTTCTGAAATAATACCTATTAAAATATACCTATTAAAATACACCTATCAAAATATACTAATCAAAATATACCGTATTAAATTACTGAGTAGAGGGAAGATGGAAGCCCCGCCACTGCCGTGGAGGCCTTAGTTCGCTACGCTCTGAAATAATAGTCTGTGCTAGACTATTAAGCACTATTAAGCTCTGAAATACGGGGTTCACCTCGGGGGAGGGGCACAGACTATTAAGCTCTGAAATAAGCTCTGAAAAAATAAAATAAAATAGGTAGTTTGCAACGTGGTCACGTGCAATAAAGGGGGAGGGGCATCATGTGACGACCGGTCCACGTTCTCACGTTCCGGCTGTGACTGGCTGGATTCCTGTCTGGCTCGTTCCACGCGCTCTCAGCCAATAGTCGGAAGCACGCGTCTCAGCCAATAGTCGAAAGCACGCGACACTTCAACTCGACCCCACGGCTTTGCGGGTGAACTCGTGTTTACGTAGGGAGGGATTGTGCCAGACGAGTCGACGACTCAGGATAATCCTCCTCCCTCGTCCATTGGCAAGTGTCGCTGGTTCTTCGTTCTCTACTCTTTGCGCTTTGCTCTTTGCTCTTTGCGCTTGCTCTTTGCTCTTGGTTCGTTGCTCTTGGTTCTTTGTTGTTTGTTCCTGGTCCTGAGTCCTTTGGTCCTTTGGTCCTTTGGTCCCTTGTTCCTTACGAAGTACTCTTTGTCCTACCTCTGACCTTGGTTCCTTACCCTCTGTCCTGGTTCCTTACCCTCTGTCCTGGCTCCTTACCCTCTGTCCTGGTTCCTTACCCTTTCTACCTTGGAGATCTTGCCTATATACCCCCTTCTTTTGCCTGTGCGACGTGGGGGTGCAATTGGAAGTACACGACACCATCAGAAGGCGACGGCACCATCATAAGGCGACGGCTCAGAAGGCGAAGGCTCAAAAGTCAACGGCACCATCAGAAGGTGACGGCGCGTGTGCCATGATGCCTCGTCCACAGCATCCTCCGACTCCTGCCTCGTCAACCGAGATCAAGAGCAAAGATGGCTCTCAATTCCCCTCTCTGCAGATGTCCTTCGAGCTTCCTCCACCGGCAGTAACAGACACAGGCACAGTCGCAGGCGCAGGCGCAGGCACACGACCAGCCTCATCGAGCCGGTCATCCAAGTCGTCTTCAGCCTCTTCTTACCACCCAGACTCGACGTCGCCTACATCTCCAGCAATTCCCGCGAGCGAGGTCGTCAAGACTCGTCGACGCTCGTCCGTGGCCCAGAGACAGAACCAAGACGCCTTTGCGCTCCCCCCGCCGCCCACGAGATCGAGGAAGATCATCCAGATGAAGCCCAAAGGGCCCGCGGAAGAAATCCCAGAGGGTCCAGAACCAACCACGAAGGAGCTTGCAAAGACCGCCCCGGCTCCCAAGAAGAAACCGCCCTCGTCGACGAGTGCCGCGGGGCGCAAGATTGCCAGGAAAACTGCACATAGCTTGATTGAACGAAGGAGAAGGTCCAAGATGAACGAGGAGTTCGGAGTCTTGAAGGACATGATCCCCGCATGTACAGGCGAAATGCACAAATTGGCCATCCTACAGGTCGGCCATTTCCAATCCCCCTTTCGGCGACCGCTAACTTGGATCAGGCGTCGATTGACTATGTCCGATACCTCGAGGATTGTGTGACCAAATTGAAGGCGGAGAATGATCGAACCCACTCGACACCAGTCAAGGAACAGTATAGTCTCCCTCCACCTCCCAGGCCAAGCTCGCTCGCCGCCTCCCGGCCATATGGTTCGCACGAGGAAGATGGAGACGTGGAAATGGGCGGCTCGGATGGTCGATCTCCCACATACTCAACTCCCATGCCACCATCTCATCGCCCTTCGGCCTCGCCGGCACTCCAGCCGCAAGACTCTCGGAATCGGCAGGATTCATATTCCTCGGCCTCGACCGACCAGCGTCATTACAGTTTCAGTGCGTCCTCGACCACTTCGCCCGCCCTGGGTCCATCCACCTATGAGTCCTCCCGGGGCATCGGATCCGCGCTCACGAGTCCGACGTTGCTGCCACAGAGGGATCTGGACCAGGAGGCTACGACGGCTCTGTTGATGCTGAATACTGACAGACGGGGTACTCACGGGACTGGAAGAGGTGGTATGAGTGTCCAAGATCTTCTCAGTGCTTGATGCTGAATTCAAAAGTTTGGGCGGATGACTCGTGGCGTTTCGCGGCGGCAGACTTCGAGAGGCGTTCCAAGTCGCCATCACACGAGATTTGCTTTTGCTCCTACCGGTTGATTATTGTGTGGTAAGAACTCCGAATAAGAAATATCTTTGGTTCTCATACCTATTTGCCTCTTCCGGAGTCATAATTCTTTGGTCGGCAATCTCACCGAGCGCTAGATGCCGATTTTGTGTCCACTTGTTCTGTCCTTTTTTTCTGCCACGTAAGAAATTACAGCCCTGAATGGGATCGGATTTGTTTTCAACCTTTGTGTTCTTGCACGTAATCCGGATACGAGAATTTGATAGCGGGAAAGATTCATGATCCATGATATGACCCACCGAAACGCCCACCCGCGAATCGTGGCAAAGGTTTTCTTGCCCAACGCAATGCTCTCGTGGAGTGACGTAGTTGATCATACTTGGGGAAGATATCAGATGGCTTGTGACTTGAGGAAGGCCTGGTTCCTCATCGTGTAGCCTTGAAAAGGTACCTACCTCAAGGTTGGGCTTGAGATGGGAAATATAAATCACGTTTCATTGGCCGCAGGCTTTTGAACGTCTAAATGGCTATTTTTTGGATGGTGTGGCTAAACGTTATAAGAGCAGAGTTATTTGCTCCGAATATAACTGGGACTAGTGGTTTGCTCGTAGAGTCGGAGCGCTGTGTAAAATCCTTACAACAGTATATAAAGAACAGTTTGATAATGTAACTAGGGATCGGAAATAGCCAATACAAGGGCCCCGACCCCACTTGCGATATTATAAGTCCTCCCGTCCCTCTACGTATTTCAGCTTGTCATTCCTGCTGGACATATCTGTAATATTAGTGCGTAGAGTAAATCCCCACGCATTTTCCTTGGGTGAGCCGTGAAAAAGGTAAGAGTCTACGTCTACGATCTCATTGGAAGAGATTAGGTCAAGATGATTTCAATCCACTCGATAACATAGGAAAATCTACTGGATTTTTCTTCAAATTCTAGGTGAATAAAATTCGCGATCCTGGATAGGATAAGGGAGGAATACATCTTCTCTGCTTAGTGAGGGGTCGATATTGATATGGCTTATCTTCCATGATTCATTTTGTGAGTTGAGATCAGCATTGAAGCATTGAAAATAATAAACGATAGAATCCAGAAACTTCAGGGGGATCTTGAAAGGAGTTGAGGCTGCAGACATCCACGAAGCTAATAAACAGGGGACCAGTCATCTCAAATTCCGAAATACAACCTATGAAAGACTTGACCTGAGAACGACGTGCGTATTCAAACGCCCAAGCAGGAATGAAAGCACATCGCACTGAGCTTGACACAACACTCTTGACATGGCGTTCTCATTGGTAAACTCGATGCCATCAGAGACGACAAAACTGGTTTGTGCGACCATTGATAATTTATCGAAGGCGAGGACTTGAAATCGGTTCCGAGAGCGCGCAAAGAGCGTACATAGCCTCTATTTATTAACTAGAGGCCGAAGGCTACAAATATCCAGATGCTGGAGCTACCAAGATATTGTGCTCACATCCGAAGAAGCATAAAACAACAAAAAACATGAGAAACTCTTGATATACCACAAAAAAAAAAACAATTCAAGGACTTGAGGAGAGAATGGAATCGAAACATAATCTCTGCTATCTGTAGATTCTTCCCCTGTATTTTATCAAGAGCTCAGATTAAAACTCTACGTACAGTATGCCACTCCTTAATTATCCGAGATATTATAGGACAATCCGCTAGCACGTCTTTAAATTTTCCGGAGTGTGAGTTTAAATGTCCTGGACAAGAAAGGATAATCCGCTCGGATGTTTTTAAATTTTTAGGAGAATGAGTCCAAGATAAGATAGGAGAATCATTTATACAACCTAAAGGTCTTAATAAATGTAAAACTGAGGTCACATCACCTGATTTCCGGAAGGGTACTGTAAGTAACAAAGTCCGGAGTGGTAGGCCGCCTTTAATGTGATTAATATACTATAAAACGAAGGCCAAAAACACAAGTAGGACGAAGGTCCTACCAGGGCCCAATGGTCTAGTGGTATGATTCACGCTTTGGGTTCTATTATGATGAAACAGAATGTGTGAGGTCTCCGGTTCGATCCCGGATTGGGCCCATTAGGGATTTCTTTTTGCTCTTTTTTCTTTCAAAGATAAGTATAATAGTCTGTGCCCTTCTGTCAGGGGGTAGGTAACCCCTAATTCCCGGTGAAACATAACTTGTTTCGAAGAAACCTCGGTGTGACCACCCTACTACTTTTAATATTTAAATATAATATTTGTTTTTCTTATAATTTAGTAATTTATCTCTATTATTATTAATAACTTATACTATAAATTCTTAAACCTCTAATAAATCTAAATTTAATAGAGTATAACTTAAGAAGACTCTAGAGTATATTAAAAATAAGAGATAGAGCGAAAAATTTATTATAGCTAGAAAGATCTTTAAGATTATAGTAGATTTAATAAGAAATACTATATATTAGTAGAAAAGATAAGAGATCTATTAGAGTTAATATAAAAGAGACTAGAATTATATTCTTAACTCTACTTAGATAGCTACTATTAAGTTATACTATTATAATTAGTAGAAGTTTAAAATAAAGATAACTTATTATATAGTATATATTATAATCTACTATTTAAAAGAGACTAAAGAGAAAGAGCTTCTATTATAGAGATAGTTTTATAATTAGCTAGAAGATAATAAATTACTTTATATAATTAAGATAAAACTAATTAATATAACTTAGTTTATTAGTAAGTTATATATATTAGTAAGTTATATACTTTTTTCTAGTACTTAACCTATAAACTTTAATATATATTTTCTTTATAACTAAATATAAAAGTTTAAATCTAAGAAGTAAGAATTATTCTAATTATAGAAGTTATTTAATTATCTAAAAAAAATTAGCTACTAGTTTACTATAAAGATCTATAAAGTATTTAAATTAATACTTTATAATAAAATAACTAATTAAATCTCTTACTTTAAAACTTAATTAGTAAGTTATAAATTAACTAAATTAAAAGAGAAAGAAATTCTTTAGTATAATATAGTTTATTACTAAGTAGTATACTTCTCTCTACTTTACTATCTACTAACTTTAATATATATTTTCTTAATAACTAACTATAAAAATCTAAACCTAAGAAGTATAAATTATTCTAGTTATTAAAACTATTTAAATATCTAAAAAACTTAGTTATTACTCTACTATAAAAATCTATAAAGTCTCTAAAATAATACTTTAATATAAAATAGCTAGCTAAATCTATTATCTTAAAATTAAATTTAATTATTATAAATTAAATAACTTAAAGAAGAAGATACTTATTTAATATATACTTAATTTAGATATAAGAGAATTTATACTCTAACTAGCTAGTATAAAAGATATAGTAAATTATATTCTTAAATTATAGAGAGAAAAATATATTAGTAAGCTTTAAATATATTAATTTATATAATATTAACTAGAATTAAAGATATATTTTAATTATATTTATAACTTTTAAAGAGTCTTATATAAAGATCTAAAGCTTATTAG